ATTAAACTGGTCATTGTATGAAGGAGAGCATAAGGAATGAAGTAGTGTCCCTTTTGTCATCTTCTAGTTTTGTGATGATGTTAAGATGAAGTAGGAGTCTGATTAGATCAGACAACTGGAACTCTGGCAGGGAAAATATGACAGACATTGACTTCAAATGCTCAAAAATATCTTCATTGAAGAATCCTTCCTTCAGATTATTCATAACTTTGAGAGAAAGAGGTTTGTCTGAAATTGAAGCTAAAGCATCATCATCATCAACGTATGTGAGAGCTAATAACTGTGAGAGAATTTCAAGGATTGGCTTAGAATCAACAAAGACGACATTCGTAACTTCTGGATAATATAACATGAGACTCACGTTATGGAAATATCTCAAAGCTTGTTTAGTATCTTCCTCCTTCATCCCATATCTTTCTCCAATAGATAAAGCTTCCTTAACTGATACAATACTCTGCTCGGGCAAAGACAACTCAAATGCAAACCATCGAATTGGTATTTTGATTTCCAGTGAAGCATCAGACCCATGATACCATATTGCCTTGCAAATCTCTTCACTGTATTTAGCTCTTTCTTCTGATTCAGCAATCGTGTTGACAGGAAATATGATAGATTTTTTATGATGGATAACGCAATTTTGTAAGTAGGACTGCAACGAAGACATTGAAGACTTTAGGATCTCTTCCTTTTCTCTTAGAGTATCATCATTTACCTTGTCATAATGCGTTCCCAATACAAGATGCATGGAGTGTGTCGGTTTCTTGGAGATGCAGGAAATATCAAGAGGCTTAAAACTAGCTCCAGTGGAAACTGCAGACTGGAAGAATGCTAACTGAGTTGACTTGGAGTAGCATGGGAAGAATTTTCTATCGATCCTGTACATCAGATCAAACCTCTCATTGAAAGGCTTAGATAGATCCAGTGCTATGATATTGAGAGAAGCTGCTCTAGTGAATAAAGGCAGTAAGTCTTGGTATGCTGGCTGACCACCAGAGTCAATAACGTACAGCCAATGATCACTTTTATGAATCCTTTTTGGTTGACTGGCTAAAATTTCCTGGACGACTGCTTCAGTATGATACTCTTTGTCTTCTTCGATAACTTTTGTTTCAGATGAAACTGCTTGATCAGGTTTCTTCTGTGGAGTAGGAGATGGATCTAGTGGTATTTCTGCTGCTGGTTGAGTATTATCTGGCAATGAGAGGACTACGGGCAGGGGAGGCTCTTTTGTTTTCTTTTCCTGTGAAACTGCATTCAAATCGACTGCTAATTCACCAAGTAAATTATCTCGAGTCACTCGATTCCAAGTTTTTCCACAAACGGCAGCTCTCGTAGCCTTGCAGGCAATGGGTGTACTGGTGTCATCAGTGGGTGGGTCTTCATTTAGTAGGAGGAGCTTTGAACAGGTTTTACCAGCTCCAGGAGCACCAAGCATATTAACACGAGTAACGGTTAGATCAACACTCCCTTCCTCCATCCACTTCCCTACAGCATCTATATAATATAATGAAATAGTATAATTAATAAACATAGCAGGAACTATGTTGTGCATACACAAAGAGGTCTATTACATTATTAGATTAGTATGTGTTACATTAGTGAGTGTATTACCTAACCATTGCTGATTGTGTGTATGTACTTATGATTGCTGTACCACAATGGATTCTGTTTTGATGGTGAAAAGGTTTTATCAAAACAATAGATGGTTAAGAATTTCATTAGCTGCTAATACATGAAATAAAATTATTTATAGACCACCTGCATGTTAGGCAACACTTCTTTGAAGTCGGCAAAACATTGGGGTACACGTGGTCAGGCACACCCACTGGTTGGCAAAAGCAAAATGACTGCATCAGATGTAAGCATTTTATGTCTTTGTTTGAGGATGCCAGAAAGCGGCTACGTTGCAAAGCTAGAATCTGTTGATTAGATATCCATGATTGCCCTTACTTGCCTAAAAAACAACGTCCAATTCACTGATGAGAAACTGGCCAAATCTCGAGTTTGGCCCTTAGCAGGCCTGAGCCATTCACAAGAGCAGCTCATGTCCTGGAAACAACTAGAGGCCTGAAACTACTACAAAATTTGACATATTAGCACAATTTTTTGTCTTTTTTTGGAAGAGGAGGAAGAAAGTTTGGTGTAAGAAGCTTACACCAAACTTTTTTAGGCAGCTTGTTTTTTATCTGACACTGCTTGTATCTTATTACTCTTTGCTCTATATAGGCAAAAACAGTAGGGACCATCTATATTAGCAGAGTTATTAACCAGCCTTCCTAGAAAATTACATTAGCAAAATGATCTCCACATAGTCGTGTATGCTTGGTTAGTTTCCAGTTTTTTCTCTTTATAGCATTTATCCACAACTTTTTTCTTCTTTTTGGAAAAGCTAGGATTCTATAGAAGCCAAGTTCCTTGTTTTCTTCATGCCTGTTTTGACACCCAACAGCACCACAGCTCACTACCATTTTGCTTTTTGCTAACCAGTGGGTGTGCCTGATCACGTGTAACCCAATGTTTTGCCGACTTCAAAGAAGTGTTACCTAATGTACGGGTGGTCTAATGGCCAGCAAGCATATGAGTGTACCTCGCATAAGTAAAACATGTGTTTGGTACATGTACATGTACATGTATGTGTTAATACCTTGTATTCTTCTCTTCTGATATTCATTAATGTCCAGTACTGACTGTACTACCAAATCACCAGCACTAGATACTAATAATAATAAATTAAATAATAACAGGATAAATAATAATAATAAAATAATAACAATAATAATAATTAATACTAGCAGGTGTAGCAACAATTGTCCAACCCACAAATGCTATCACTGCACCATGTGTGTAGCTCAAAATCCAAAAATGTAAATTTTGCAGCAATAATTATAATTTTGTGGGTGTGTACAATCACACATTAAGCCACACCCTTCACTCATTAATAATTATTACATACACAGCCAAGAGTTAGCATGTACCATATAACGGAAAATTTTCGTGGCCCAAAATTTTTGTGGATTTCGCGTTTTTTCAAAATCCACAAAAATAAAATCCACGAAATTGATTTAATATGGTTCAAGATAGCCGAAAAGTAAAAAACCATGAAAATTAGAGCCATGAAATTGATTTTTGAACGGATCCGCAAAACATTTGGGCCACAAAAATTTTCCACTATACAGTATGATATAAGACACTGCCCAAAATCGATGAATGGAGCTTGATTACAGTATTGATACAGTCTGACAGGTATCACTGCTGAATCATGCATGTTGCTCTGGCTGAACCAGTATCATGGCAGTATGTATTCAAGCATGATTGTATCAAGGCTGATAGATCTGCTAGACTCATTGCCATATTAGCTGCCCAACATCCATGATTCAGGATGCATTAGACCGGATCAGGACTAACATCACTCATGAATCAATCACAAACTCTTGGCTGTGTATTCAATACAGTATATACTAATGTATATACTTACTGATTTCAATAAATGTTGTATCACTGAGTAATGAACCACTTCCCGTTCGTCCTCCAAACTCAATTATCCAGCTGATGGTCTGTGTCTCATTCCAAATTGAGAGAGAATGCCAATATCTATCAGTGACACTGTCTGGTATATTAGTCTATATTAAAAAATAATGATAAAATAATACAAGTATACCTATAGTTAATAAAAATGATTTCTCTCTTATCCTCCAATGTCAATCATACTCACAAAAATGACAACAAAGGCAAGTGTCATGAGCTCTTTCTTAAAAACTACTCATAGCATAATCTTTCATTTCTTTATCACATGCACATATCTATACTGACCAGCTGTACTGTATTGAATTGATTATCATTGAGGAGTGACGTACATGTACAGACAGACAAATCACAGTGGTCTCGTACTAGTAGGACTCACTCATGCTCACCACAGTTAGCTACTTACCAGTTCTTTCCATTCCATTTTGTTTATGTTTAACAACCAACAATCATTGGTACCTGCTCCACCAACCACTAGTAGGTGTGGTACTGAGCTACAGTTGATCAATACACTGGAATGAGCATCTCTCGCCTGAGGCCATTGTACTGATCCTCCAGGGTTAGAAAACTTCTTACATTTCTAAAATAATGAAAATATTCAAATACATGAACCATGCACATCCACACACACTGTTATGCATAATAATACACATCTACAATACATTTTAAATTAATAATTAACATATACAAGTGTAGTAGTAATATTATGCTCACCACTGATGTGTCGGTAAATTCAAATATATACACATCATTATTGTATTTCAAACCACCAATATCACCACCAAACAATATAACAGTAGTGTTAGTTATTGATGTTAAAGTGAATTGAGAAATAGGAGGTGGTCTGTCTCCAGTGACAGTTGGTGAAGTCCATTCACCTAAAAATCATTAATAAAAATTATATGAACACACACAGACTCTGCAAATTTACCATAATAGTGGGCAATTTTTGAGAAAAAAAATATTTTTGAGAAATCCTTTGCTAAAATCATAATATATTTATCATTAATTTTAAAGGTGTGGTAATTAATAAGCGTGGCACAATTCAATAGAACATGTATGTCACTCTATTCTAAAATACTCAAAGCTTGACAGATATCAAAATGGGCAATGCACTAAAAGAAATTATTGATCATACATAAACATTTTAACCCGTCACATCCAATTCTCAATACTGGACCGACTGACTTCTAAATAATAGGGAAATCTCTTAGCCTGTTAATCATGACTATAGGTGGATTTACACTGCAAAATTAATGTAAGGTAATGCTGTATAAATGAATGCCCACTGTTTAAATAATTCTTATGTTATGTAAACAGTGGCCAATGATTTATACAGCACTTTCTGTCATCATGCATGAAGTTGAGAGTCTCTCTACTTTATCCAACATGTTGCCCAACCACATCAACGGTTTAAAAATAAGCAATGCTGCATAGTGAATGCCCTCTGGGCCACCTCAGTTGTAACTGATGACATACATGACTGTGCCAGGAGCACTGTATGGTTTTTGTGGTTAAACTCACGAAATCATTGAAGTGCCATCTCTTAGAGGCTATGTCAACTGTCAACCACAAAAATTTAAAAAACAAATTCCACTGGGAGCAAAGTGCAAACCACAAAATATTACATAATCCTTGTTTATGTAATAAACAAGGATTACATAATCCTTGTTTATTACATTAAGACACTTAAGTAGGTGATTTATTATTGAGGATAGCAACTTGCTCCCTTATAAGCAGATTTCCAATTTTATTCTTGCTGCAGAAATAGTGCAATCGATAAGTACATCTTAATTACTGTATATGAACTACATTTTAAAAATATTATTATCATAATACTGACCAGTTTTTAATCGGTACATATGAACTTCATTGCAACGTTGATTGCCACCTTTACTGTACTGGGCACCAGGTTGTGGTGGGGTATTAGAAGATGGTCCCTGCCCTCCAATTACTGCAAGATAGTCCTCGTCATTGATTCGTAGTGCAACCATGCCAGAGAAGGACTTCATCATAGGACCATGATGAGATGTAGTAGGAGAGAGTTCCTTCCAATTTAAGGTGTCAACATTAAAACTGTATAAAATTTTAGGATACTTATTGGTCTACTGTATTAGTTTACATTACCTGTATAAACTGTTATGATGACAGACGTCATGACCACAACGCCCTCCAAAAAAGAATATTTCATTTCTAATGACAGCAGCAGCATATCCCTCAATACCAAGTGGGGGGTTACCAGTGGTAGGCTTTTGTACCCAAGTACCAGTTGGTACATGACAGACCTCCACTACAGAACAGATTGATCTCTTCTTCTCACTATTGTGTACTTCAGGGAAGTCAGGCTGCCTCCCACCCCACATGTACAGGTTGTCGCCTACCTCTACACTAGAATGACCTCTCCGCCTCTCCACTGGTTGCCGATAGACTACAGATAATAACAAGAGGACACAGTATTATATTAGTGAATAATCAAGGAGAGGATACAGAGGAGTAAAGTAAGGGAGAGAATAAGAAAGAAAGAGACCTAAAGAGAAGCAAGAGAATAAAGGCACTCACTTTGTGAAGACATCTTCAACTGAAACCCACAGCCCTGATTACTGGGTAATGGTTGAGATCATTTGGTAAATTAAAATATTTTGTATAATTAATGAAATATAATTATAACACTATACATATAATTAATTTTGTTGATAGTTACGTGCATTTGAAAACTATGAGATTGCTTCAAAAGTTGAATTTATTTACATTTATAGTCTTGCGTATTTAATTTATTAATTTTCAATTGCTAATCGATATTAGTTAGTATACAAGTAATTAGCTGATTTCGATCAAAACGTCTAATTTTTAACAATTTTTTAAACTGCTCAAAAATCAAAAAAAAATCATTGTACTATATAGTAACAGTCATGGGCTAAATTTCACCAAAAGTGAGAATGAGCAAATTCTTTATACTTATTATTTTTTTCTGATATATTGTACATATTCATGTTCTTATGCTGTGTAGCAAGTTTGAGCTGATTCTGATTAAAAATTGATTTTTAAAAATTGCTCAAAAATTGGACAAAAGACCAGAGCCTTTGGTTTTTGGCCAAATTTTGCTAAAAATGAAAAAATTCTCAATTAAAAAAAATTTTTTCTAATGCACATGCTTTTATGCTGTGTAAAAAGTTTAAGCTGATTCTGGTCAAAATTGAATTTTTTACAAATTTGACAAAAGTCCCTGTACATAGTACACAGTCATGAGCCAAATTCTGCCAAGATAAAAATGAGAAGAGCCTCCATTTTTATAATTTTTTCTGATACATATACATATTTTTATGGCATGTAAAAAATTTGAGCTAATTCTGATCAAAATTAAATTTTTTACAATTTTTTTAATTTACACAAAAATGAGGCCAATTAACTTTTGCAAGTGTTTGGCCAAATTTTGCTGAAAATTAAAAGAATAGAATTCTCCAATATTATAATTTTTAAATATGTATACATGATTTTATGCTGTGTAGAAAGTTTGAGCTGATTTCAATCAAAATTGGATTTTTTATAATTTTTTAAAGTTGCTCCAAAGTCGTACCAAAGTCCCTGTATATATAATACAGGGACTTACTTTTATCTAAATATGCTTCTGTCAGTTTATTATTGTATGTACATGTGGCAAGATATAGGAGCTTAAGAGTGTATTAAGTAATAGTTAATACATGGGGTGGCGTGTTCTATCTGATTTATCCGCACCAGCTTCTGGTCGAGTCGCTAAAAATAGTGCACAAGGCCGAAAGCCGAGTGCGCTATTTTAGCAACGAGACCGGAAGCGAGTGCAGATAAATCAGATAGCACACGACGCCACATGTATTAATTGTTTTAGTGTATAGTTCCAGCAAAGATTGCACGTGCTCTGCTATCACTGATATCACACTGCTGCACATTAAATAAATGAGTGTGCTATTTATAATATTACACTGCGGTATTGGTGGGAGTGTTCTGTGGGTTTTATCACAACTGTTAGGCCTTTGATCTTTGCTGCAACTATACATTAATGCCTATTGTTACCAGTAAAGGTGGATTTACACTGCAAAGTTAACGTAAGGCAAGGCCGTACGTTAAGACAGGAAGTGCTGTATAAACCAATGGCCACCATTTATGTAACCTAAGAGTTGACATTATCTCTACTCTTACATTACATAAACGTTGACCATTGGTTTATACAGCACTTCCTGTTGTAACGTATAGCCTTACGTTACGTTAATTATGCAGTGTAAATCCACCTTAACAGAAGTTACATGGTAACATGCAAAAATACTTTTGAAGTTGACGCAAAATTGGCCAAAATTTAATTTGCATTTGTTTGCATTGGACTTTGTAGCAAATGTAAACAAGGCCCAAGTCTCCAGTTAACTTAATTCCATTTATTCTTTAGTGAATTAGACTTATTGTAGTATTTAACAATAAAATAATTAATAGGATAGACAGAGACACCTTGAATATTATGCAATCATTTAGTGTTACATGTAGTGTTTATAGTTTTTAAATTCCTCCATACAGCCCCACCTAATTGTAATCTGAAGTGTCACATTTGTTTCTGTTAGATATACAACTCTTCTTCTTCCACTTGTTCAAATGCTTCATTTATTATCATATCCTACCAATTTAAATTTTGTCACAATTATCATTAGTAGTTATAATATAAGTTATAATATTTGTGGGCAATAAAATTTTGGAATTTAAATTGAATTTGAAATCTACTTTTAAAACTAGCATGTGTGATGAATGAGAGTTTTGATATTTTTAATTTTTGTTAAGAATAATTTTCTGTATGATAACATTACATATAGCAGAGTCTGCATTTAAATTTTAAAATGCTGTGTAGTCTATTATTTACTTACATCTTTTTCTTCAGTATCTTTTATCATTTTTGGTTCATCATATACAAATTCACTGATACCTATGTACAGTTATTATAGGTATGAACAATTAAAGTATCACCATCATTGTATAATTGTAGACTTTTAGCAGTTAATATTACAATGAAGATACTTACTTTCATATATTCCTTCAGTGTTCATGTCATTATTATTGTCATAAGCAAAATTAATAGACACATCAATTGTATTGCATCCTATATGTGATTATGTTCATACTCACATGTATACATGTATAAAAGGTCTTACTGTTCCTTCCTCCAGTATCATACGCAGGATTATTTGATATATTTGATAGAGTGTTTTGATTTTTGTCCATTTTTGTTTCACAGTAGTCTATTAAAACAGTCATAAATATTTATTGGCACCATTTATACCTTGACTAAATTTTCTTTGAGGAGCATGGTTTCTGTTTGTTGTCTTGTTCCATCTTCTCTTACAAACTAATGCACTTACTATTAATACAGTAGCTACCACTATTAGAAATAATGTAGTAAAACTGCTAATAGCTCCTGCTAGTATTAGTGCATTACTGCCTGTACTTCCAGATGTGCTAACTGGTGTACTTATCATTGTACTAGATCTAGATCTAGTACCTATTAAAGTAATACTCAGTAATGTACTGGCAGGTTTTGTGCTAATTTCTGTTGATTCTTTTGTTACACAAGGTGTAGTATAGGATATGGAATTGCTTGATGACATAAGGATCATATGTGTACTAGATCTAGTAGAGAATGATGTTTTGTTAGGTCTACTTGTAGCAGTAGATATCCCAGTAAATGTCTGAGTAGGTGTATCTGTAAATATCATTAATTAGATATATAAAGTAATACTTACTTGTAATGATGCTGCTAGTGCTTGAAGATGTTATTCTGTTAGTGTTTATTGCTTGCTTTGAAGATGTGACTGTATTGGAAGGTACTAAAGAAAATGGCTCTAAAACAGAAATGATTATACAAGCACAATTCATTGTATGTTACTTTCATATAAACATACCTACTACAACTGATATCAGTGGATAGTCATTATGTTCCAATGGCAATAATCCATTACTGCTATCAAGCTGATAATTCAATGGTCCATTGTATTGTTGATAATACATTGGATTACTATTAGTGGTTACATTGATTACTAATATATCTCCATACTGTACTTCAATATCACTTGTAAAGTTATATACATTACCATTACTTGATGTAGCAGCAGAAGCATCAACAGTTAGTGCATGAATCAGTTCAGAAGAACGTTTTAAATAAATATTAGGATAATGTTTGCTTGTATCCTGATTCTGTGTAATACCAATTATCCATTTAGTAACAATACCATTACATGTGAACTGTATATCAGGAAAAGCTCTTGTATCACTGACTGGTATTACATTAGTAACTGATAGACTGTTTGTATTAAATGAACTGTCAATTGAAGGATAGTTGCAATTGCTTCCTAAAAATACATTAAAATGATATACCTTAATAAAGTGACATATTTTTATATACTTGTAATTGGGTATATTAGAATACTTGAAGTTTGTAACACTATTTCACCATCATCAGGATCTTTGTTAACATCAAAATTATTGACTTCAACTACTTCTCCAATTTGACCAGTTCCAGTTACTTTATAAAATCTAACAACACTTCTATCTTCGGGAGGTTGACGTACTCCTAGTCTGAAATATCTCTTGTCCCTGTCTATTATTAAAGGAGTGGGTAATATATAATTATAGAGTCCATTGGTAGTGAAATTGTGTGAAGATAATAATAATTGACTAGATGGTGTTCGTTCACTATAAGAATATCCTGTTTCTCTCCATATCTCTACTATTGGATATTGATTTCTGTTATCAGTCACAGGTCTAATGTCAATTCCAACTAATACTTCAGTCAGTGTAGAAATACAGTTGAGCCTTTTTGTATCTTCAGTGATAATCCATCTTGTTTCTACTGAGTCTGCTAGTCCAGTAGTTAGGATATTGTTGGCAGTAGTTTTAGCCTCCAATAAACTTAATTCCATAAATCCTTCAGTACCACAAGTATTACACTGTACTGTAGCATTTAACAATAGAAACAATAAAGAAAGGAAAGAGAGAGAAAAAGGAGACATCTTGACTGCTACACAATTTGTATAGTCTGTGTTAAGCATGTTATTTCCTTTGTCAGCTTGCAGCCATATAACTTGTTGGAATAGTGCCATCTTCAGAGCACCTACTGAAGTCACTAATGTGTTGCTTTACAGTTGTTAACAGAATGTATATAGTTTGAGTGTACTAATATCAAGAGTCCATTATGGACTCTTGCTTATATGCATTAGTGGCAAGATTACTTCTGTACTGCATGTGTTTTTATGTTGTGTATAATGTTTGAGCCAATTATGAGGAAATTCAAACTTTTTATGAATCTTTAAAGCTGCTTCAAAATTGTACTTATACTATACAGGGATTTTTGCCAAATTTCACAAAAAATGAAAAGGAGTGAATTAACATCTTTTACTGCATTTCTGATGCATATACATGTTCTATACTGTGTACACTGATTCTGCTCAAATTTAAACTTTTTTACAAATTTTTAGATTTGCTTAAAAATTTTACACAGATTATGGCTAGTCTCGCATAGCCAGACCCATACCCCTTTTTGACATTAAATGTCAAAAGGGGGATGGGTCTGGCTACGAGAGACTAGATTATGGCCAAATTTCACCAGCAATGAAAAGGAGAGATTTTATTACATTTTTATGATACATAGATCCATACACATTCTTATGTTGTGTATAAAGTTTGAGCTGATTCTAATTTTTATGTACAATACAATGATCATTGAAACAAAATTTTGAAAATTTATTAAAAAAATTAAGAAGTAATACAAGAAAGAATGACAGAGGAATAGTAATACTATTTACATTTATTATTAATGCAAAGTTTTAATGTAAGTACAATAGACCAATCTAGACTTGTTAATTTTCATAAATATTTTCTCCTTTCAGCTGTTCATAGGATTGATTTATTATCATGTACTATTAATGAACAATAAAATATGAATAATTATGATGATCGCAATAACACAATGTTAATAATATTAAATATACGATGTATTCAAATTTTTTTGGCTAGCAATCATAAATTTGTTCCTTTGATTAATTGATGGCATGTGGTTATTTGCAACAATTTTATTGATAACCATGCATATAAACTACCTTAAGCCTACTATTATTTGCGTCTACTAATTTTAGCAAAATCAGCAAAAGTCATGTTTAGTGTTAGTAATTTTAACGTTTTTAACCAAATTTACTATAAATAATAACCATTATAATGAATAATTATTATTTTGGCGTCTATTTAATTTAGCGATTTAAAGCTCTCTTGCTAATATAGCTAAATTTAGTAGACACTAAAAATAGTAGGCTTAAGGTAGTTTGTACTTACATCTTGTACTTCAGTATGGTTCATTGTTCTTGGTTCATCATATGCAAATTCTGCAATACCTATACAATTAATTTATACCCAGTTATTGGCTATTTTAAGTTGAACTATACTTTCATATCTTCTTCCAGTGACCATACCATAAGCAGGATTAATAGATACATCAGTGTTACAACCTATATTAATGTCATTGTGTTTATACTTGTATAAAAAATTTACTGCTTTTTCCTCCAATGACACCATAAGCAGGATTAGTTGATATATATGATAGTGTGTTGTCCACTTTTGCATCTAGGTTTAGTCGAACAATATACATTAATTATTGGTATTATCAAAAGTACATTTGTACCTCTTGACTGTTGATCAGTTATTTTTTCAGCAGCACACTTGCTAGCACTAATAGTATGGTTTGTGTTTGTTGTTTTCCAACTTCTTCTACACACAAATACACTTACTATTACTATAGTAACTACCAGTAATAGAAATAATACAGTAAAACTACTAATAGCTCCTCCTAGTATTAGTGTATTATTGCCTGTACTTTTAGATGTACTAACTGGTGTACTCATCACTGGGCTTGTTGATATATTCAGAAATGTAGTAATACTAGTTGATGCAGTTGATTCTATTGTTATAGTAGATGTAGCGTATATTTCAGAACTGTTTGAAGTATGGAAGGTATTAATATGTGTACTATTTTTTGAAGTAGTCATGGATGATGTGCTACTGCTAGTAGTAGGAGAAGGTGAACCTGTAAGTATCGCTAAATGCAACTAATAAATACAGAGCAACACTTACTTGTAACATTGCTAGCACTTGTGCTTGTAAGCATTATTGTGTTTGTCTTTATTAATTGTGTTGATGGAGTGACTGTATAAGCAGGTATTGAAGAAATTGGCCCTAAAGAATATGAATTATTAAGCCAACACAGTTCATTGTATGATCTTACCTACTACAACTGATATCAGTGGATAGTCATTATGCTCCATTGGTATTAATCCATTATTGCTATCAAGCTGATAATTCAATGGTCCATTGTATTGTTGATAATACATTGGATTACTATTAATGGTTACATTGATTACTAATATATCTCCATACTGTACTTCAATATCACTTGTAAAGTTATATACATTACCATTACTTGATGTAGCAGCAGAAGCATCAACAGTTAGTGCATGAATCAGTTCAGAAGAACGTTTTAAATAAATGTTAGGATAATGTTTGCTTGTATCCTGATTCTGTGTAATACCAATTATCCAGTTAGTAATAATACCATTACATGTGAACTGTATATCAGGAAAAGCTCTTGTATCACTGACTGGTATTACACTAGTAACTGATAGACTGTTTGTATTAAATGAACTGTCAATTGAAGGATAGTTGCAATTGCTACCTAAAAATGATACATTAAAATAATAAAAACATTTTCATTACTAAATGACATACTTGTAATTGGATATATTAGGATACTTGATGTTTGTAATGCTATTTCACCATCTTTGAGATCTTTATCGATTCTATTGTCGTTATCAATATCACTGACTCTTGCTATTTGGCCAGTGCCAGTTACTTTATAAAATTGTACAACACTTTTATCATCAGCAGGTTGAAATACTCCTAGTCTGTAGCCAGTGTTTGCCTCCTCAATATGTAAAGATGTAGGTAACGTAATACGATACAGTCCATTAGTAGTGAAATTCTGTGGAGATAATCTAAGTTCAACAGATACTGGATCCCTATATCGGCTTTCATCTGCCCATATTTCGACTCTAGGGTATTGATTCCTGTTACCAGTGACAGTTCTAACATCAACTCCAACTAATATTTCAGTCAGTTTACTATTGTCTGCACTACAACGAATCTTCTTATCTCCTTCAGTGATGATCCATCTTGTTTCTACTGATTCTGCTAGTCCAGTAGTTTGTAAATTGTTAGTAGTTTTAGCCTCCATTAAACTTAATTCCATAAATCCTTGAGTACCACAAGTATTACACTGTACTGTAGCATTTAACAATAGAAACAGTAAAGAAAGGAAGGAGCTGCAAGAAGAGAGAGACATCTCTGCTTAGATGTGTCAATGAGTCTTAGACTACCTGTTTCCTCTGCATCATTAACTGTCATTTCCTAGCTACTGGTCATTAACACATTTGAGATTCAGTGTGGGTTCTGTTTCAAAAACTACTCCAAAGATGTCAAGTATTCTGCTATCAATGTTAAGCAACATTGTAAGCATACAGTGTTGTCAAGATGTAGTGAAGTATACCCCATATATAGTGGTTTCAAAGGCTGGATAATTGATTTGCATGGTCCAATATTTTGTCTTTAAATGTTTGCAAATAATGTTTAATGCATTTAGTATATGTAGCACTTGTACCTTGTGGTTAAAAGCCTTGCCAAATTGTTCCAGCAAGGAATTCACATAGCAAAATATTTTACTGGTAATATCATGAAGTGTGTGAATGTCTAAATTCCAGTGTCAATGAAAATGAAAGAAGAAAGAGCACAAATTGTGACAATTTTTGTGCATGCATTAATAAATTTTGAAATTCTGATGACTTTATCAATAAGTTTAAGGATTATACAGTTAGTGAATCAACAATGATTAAAATGTTCAATGATGCTGGTTTTGAAGTGAATGCCTGTGGACCAATGTCGACAAAGGACAAATGGTGTTTTCAGTTGATCTTATTGATGTAAAAAAATTACTGTGATATTTCGACACAATTAAATTATGACTGAATAAAAACAATAATATTATAAATATATAAAGTTTATGACGCTGCAATTATGTTTCTATGACTTTTTAATCTTTTGAATGAGGCCAATAAAAGAATCTAACATAAATAAAACAACAAATAGACCACACAAAATAACTGTTTACTAACCAGAACAAACAATAATAGAAAGGAAGGGAGAGTGAAAAAAAGGTAGTAATTAGGATCAGTATCAGACAGTGTTCCTGACCAAAGTGGACCAATAATAGCAGCTAAGGACTCCATGGACCGTCTTACACCTTGTCCATAACCTAAAATACCAATAATCAATGTGAACCAGGCATTATAATATCTTGATAATATGAATGAAGGGGATTTTCGAGCCATTTTTTAGAAAACAATATGCTATAGTCCTTCTTAAAATTTATTTTAAAAATGCTCACAACTCAAAAAATATTTGTCAAAATCAACTCAAATTTTCTACACAGAATAAGGACATCAATATGTATCAGAAAATGTAATAAAAAATTTGGGGTGATTTTGGAGCCATTTTATGGAAAAACCATGGGCTATTTGACGTTTTCTTAAAATGGCTGTAACTTGAAAAATTGAAGTCGGAATCACCTCAAATTTTCTACACAGTATAAGGACATCAATATGTATCAGAAAATGTAATAAAAATTTGGGGTGATTTTGGAGTCATTTTTTAGAAAAAACCATGGGCTATAGCCTTGGGGATTTTTCAGAATTTTGACATTTTTTAAAAATGGCCGTAACTCAAAAAATTGAAGTCAGAATCACCTCAAACTTTCTACACGGTATAAGGATATCAATATGTATCAGAAAATGTAATAAAAATTTGGGGTGATTTTGGAGTCATTTTTTGGAAAAAACCATGGGCTATAGCCTTGGGTATTTTTTAGAATTTTGACATTTTTTAAAAATGGCCGTAACTCAAAAAATTGAAGTCAGAATCACCTCAAACTTTCTACACGGTATAAGGATATCAATATGTATCAGAAAATGTAATAAAAATTTGGGGTGATTTTGGAGTCATTTTTTGGAAAAAACCATGGGCTATAGCCTTGGGGATTTTTCAGAATTTTGACGTTTTCTTAAAATGGCCATAACTTGAAAAATTGAAGTCAGAATCACCTCAAACTTTCTACACATAGAAATTTAAATTGGCGGTGATTTTGGAGCCATTTTTAAGAAGAAACCATGGGCTATAGCCTTTGCTATTTTTCAAAAACTCATTTTTCAAAAATGCTTATAACTCGAAAAATATTTGTCAAAATCAACTCAAACTTTCTACACAGCATAAGGACATCAATATGTATCTGAAAATGTAATAAAAATTGGGGGTGATTTTGGAGCCATTTTTGCTACTTTCTAATAATGGCCATAACTTGAAACTGTTTAGTCGGAATCAGCTCAAGGCTTCTCAAGAAGCATTATAAGGCAGAGAGAACCTCTATAAGTCCTTATAAAACCCAGCTGCATGCCATGCAAGCAAGGTGATGAAATCAATCTTTACACTTATAAATTTCTTAAAAATAAAATGCTTCGGCTATTTACCAAATTTGAATTTTTATGATATTTACATGTAGTTAATAAAATGCCAAATAATCCAATACTGAGATGCATGTATAGCCAATTTCTAAAACGTACGTTAGGTGACTTTTAAATACCTTGAATGTCCATGGGCAAGAGTTTTGAATACAAAGAAACTCCTACAACCCAAGAGAAAGGAAGCGCAGTAGCAATGAGACCAAAACTAAATGTAAATTCAAACACGTTGAGGAACCATAGTCCAAACAATAAAGAAAGAAAAGAGAGAGAAAAAGGAGACATCTTGACTGCTACACAATTTGCATAGTCGATGTTAAGCATGTTAATATTTCCTTTGTCAGCTTGCAGCCATGTAATTTGTTGGAATAGTGCCATCCCCAGAACACCTACTGAAGTCACTGATGTGTTGCAGTTTTAATGTTGTGGACAGAATGTATGCATATTGGGGTATAATATGCATTAGTAGTAAGAGGACTCGTATATGAGCTTATTTTTAAAGTTGCTCTAAATTTGGACCAAAGTCCCTCTACTGTAGTAATAGAGATTTCGGTCAAATTTTAAAAAATGAAAGGAAGAAAATTTTTATTACATTTTTACATATGCATGTTCTTATGTTGTGAATAAAGTTTGAGCTGATTCCAATTAAATTTAAGCATTTTACAAATAATACAGTGATCGTTAAAACAAAAATTTTAATACAAAAGACAAAGGGATCATAATGCTATATACATTTATTATTAATTCAAAGTTTTAATGTAAGCGCAATAGACCAATCGAGAATTGTTAATTTTCATATATCCTTTCTTCTTTCACCTGTTGATAGGCTTCATTTATTATCATATACTATTAATGAGCAATAAAGTATGAATATGATGATTACATACATGTACAATAAAAGCACATAATGTTAATAGAATTTAATATACAATATTGTACAATTTCTTGCTGTCTAGCTATCATAAATTGTTCCTAATTGCTAGTCGATATATTGAGTTAAAATTATTGGTTGCAATAATTTGACAACCATGTATGTACCTATATAGACTAGTTTATCATCATATACTTACATCTTGTATTTTATCAGTATCTGTCATTGTTTTGGGTTCATCATATATTTCTTCAATGCCTATACAAATTTATTTGTGCACAATTATTGCCATAAGTTGACTATTTAAGTTTAACTTTACTTTCATGCCTTCTTCCAGTGTTCATACCATAAGCAGGATTCATAGATACATCAGTGTTACAATCTATATTAATGTCATTATGTTTATTTTGCATAAAAACTCTTACTGTCCTTTCTTCCAGTAATACCATAAGCAGAATTAGCTGATATATTTGATAGTATGTTGTCCATTTGTGTATCTAGGTAATCAAACAAGATGTATTAATTATTGGTATCATCATGAAATGTACATTTGTACCTCTTGAATGTTGATCAGTAGTACACTTATTAGCACTAATATCATGGTTTCTATTTGTTGCTTTATTCCATCTTCTCCTACACACTAATACACTTACTATTAGTATAGAAGCTACCAGTAATATAAATAATATAGTAAAGCTGCTGATAGCTCCTGCTAGTATTAGTGTATTACTGACTGTACTTTCAGGTGTACTAACTGATGTACTCATCACTGGGCTTGTTGATATATTCAGTGATGTAGTAATACGAGTTGATGCAGTTGATTCTATTGTTATAGTTGAAGTAGCCATGGATGATGTGCTACTAGTAGTTGGAGAAGGTATTCCTGGAGTATTGCTAAATGTGACTTATAAATATAAAGCAATGCTTACTTGTACTATTGCTAGCACTTGTGCCTGTTAGTATTATTGTGTTTGTCTTTATTAATTGTGTTGATGGAGTGACTGTGTTAGCAGGTATCAAAGAAAGAAATAATTATGTCATTACAGTTCATTATGTGAACTTACCTACAACAACTGATATCAGTGGATAGTCATTATGCTCCAATGGCATTAATCCATTACTGCTATCAAGCTGATAATTCAATGGTCCATTGTATTGTTGATAATACATTGGATTACTATTAGTGGTTACATTGATAACTAATATATCTCCATACTGTACTTCAATATCACTTGTAAAGTTATATACATTACCATTACTTGATGTAGCAGCAGAAGCATCAACAGTTAGTGCATGAATCAGTTCAGAAGAACGTTTTAAATAAATGTTAGGATAATGTTTGTTTGTATCCTGATTTTGTGTAATACCAATTATCCATTTAGTAACAATACCATTACATGTGAACTGTATATCAGGAAAAGCTCTTGTATCACTGACTGGTATTACACTAGTAACTGATAGACTGTTTGTATTAAATGAACTGTCAATTGAAGGATAATTGCAATTGCTACCTGAAAATACATTAAAATAACGAATACATATTCATTATTTACTAACATACTTGTAATTGGATATATTAGGATACTTGAAGTTTGTAATGCTATTTCACCATCATCAGAAACTTTGCTAACATAATTATAATTGACTTCAACTACTCGTGCAATTTGACCCGCTCTAGTTACTTTATAAAACCTTACAACACTTTTATCATCAGCAGGTTGAAATACTCCTAGTCTGTAGCCAGTATTTGCCTTCTCAATACGTAAAGAAATGGGTAACGTAATACGATACAGTCCACTAGTAGTGAAATTTTGTGGAGATAATCTAAGTTCAACAGATACTGTATTCCTATATCGGCTTTCATCTGCCCATATCTCTACTCTAGGGTATTGATTCCTGTTACCAGTGACAGTTCTAACGTCTACTCCAACTAATATTTCAGTCAGTTTACTATTGTCTGCACTACAACGAATCTTCTTATCTCCTTCTGTGATGATCCATCTTGTTTCTACTGATTCTGCTAGTCCAGTAGTTTGTAAATTGTTAGTAGTTTTAGCCTCCAGTAAACTTAGTTCCATAAATCCTTCAGTACCACAAGTATTACACTGCACTGTAGCATTTAACAATAGAAACAGTAAAGAAACAAAAGAGCTGCAAAAAGAGGGAGACATCTTTACTCAGATGTGTCAGTGATACTACCTAATTTCCTCTGCATCATTAACTGTCATTTCCTAGTTACTGGTCGTATTGTGGTGTGAATAATACTTCATGAAATTAACACAATTGAGATTCGATGTGGGTTCTGTTTCAAAAACTACTCCAAAGATGTCAAGTATTCTGCTATCAATGGTGTGCAACATAGTGAGCATACAGTATTGTCATGATGTAGTGAAGTATACCCCATATATAGTGGTTTCAAAGGCTGGATAATTGATTTGCATGGTCCAATATTTTGTCTTTAAATGTTTGCAAATAATGTTTAATGCATTTAGTATATGTAGCACTTGTACCTTGTGGTTAAAAGCCTTGCCAAATTGTTGCAGCAAAGTATACACATAGCAAAATAATTCTTTTGAAACCATGAAGTGTGTAAATATCTCAATTCTGCTTTATAAGGTCCAGTGTCAATAAAAAATGAAGGAAAAAATAAAGAACTGGCCAATGCTTGAATACAAAATAATACCATAATCAGGTAAATTTAGCAACAGCAAAGATTGTAAAATTTTTGTGCTTGCATTAACAAATTTAAAAGTTCAAATGACACGACAATGCACTATTATTTTATGTGGTGATAAAAATGTTTAATGATGCTGGCTTTGGGATTCTAACTGATTTTATTGATAAAATTAATGAATTCAAAAAATTATTGTGGTAACACAATTATGATTGAATAAAAACAATAATATAAATAGATAAAATTCATGATGCTGCAATTTTGTTTCTATGACTTTTTATTCTTTTGAATGAGGCCAATAAAAGAATCTAACATGAACAAAACAACAAATAGACCAGACGAAAATAACTGTTACTAACCAGAACAAACAATAATAGAAAGGAAGGGAGAGAGAAAAACAGGTAGTAATTAGGATCAGTATCAGACAGTGTTCCTGACCAAAGTGGACCAATAATAGCAGCTAAGGACTCCATGGACCGTCTAACACCTTGTCCATAACCTAAAATACCAATAATCAATGTAAACCAGGCATTATAATATCTTGATAATATGAATGAAGGGGATTTTGGAGCCATTTTTTTAGAAAACAATATGCTATAGTCCTTCTTAAAATTTATTTTTAAAATGCTCATAACTCAAAAAATATTTGTCAAAATCAACTCAAACTTTCTACACAGCATAAGGACATCAATATGCATCAGAAAATGTAATAAAACTTTGGGGCAATTTTGGAGCCATTTTTTGGAAAAAACCATGGGCTATAGCCTTGGGTATCTTTCAGAATTTTGACGTTTTCTTAAAATGGCCGTAACTCGAAAAATTGAAGTCGAAATCACCTCAAATTTTCTACACGGTATAAGGAGATCAATATGTATCAATATGTATCAGAAAATGTAATAAAAATTTGGGGTGATTTTGGAGCCATTTTTTGGAAAAAACCATGGGCGATAGCCTTGGGTATTTTTCAGAATTTTGACGTTTTCTTAAAATGGCTGTGACTCGAAAAATTGAAGTCAGAGTCACCTCAAACTTTCTACACGGTATAAGGACATCAATATGCATCAGAAAATGTAATAAAAATTTGGGGTGATTTTGGAGCCATTTTTTGGAAAAAACCATGGGCTATAACCTTGGGTATTTTTCAGAATTTTGACGTTTTCTTAAAATGGCCGTAACTTGAAAAATTGAAGTCGGAATCACCTCAAATTTTTTACATAGCATAAGGACATCAATATGTATCAGAAAATGTAATAAAAATTTGGGGTGATTTTGGAGTCATTTTTTGGAAAAAACCATGGGATAGCCTTGGGTATTTTTCAGAATTTTGACGTTTTCTTAAAATGGCCGTAACTCGAAAAATTGAAGTCGGAATCACCTCAAACTTTTTACACAGCATAAGGACATCAATATGTATCAGAAAATGTAATAAAAATTTGGGGTGATTTTGGAGCCATTTTTTGGAAAAAACCATGGGCTATAGCCTTTGCTATTTTTCAAAGACTGATTTTTTAAAATGCTTATAACTCGAAAAATATTTGTCAAAATCAACTCAAACTTTCTACACAGCATAAGAACATCAATATGTATCTGAAAATGTAATAAAAATTGGGGGTGATTTTGGAGCCATTTTTGCTACTTTTTAATAATAGCCATAACTTGAAACTGTTTAGTCGGAATCAGCTCAAGGCCTCTCAAGAAGCATTATAAGGCAGAGTCTCAGAGAGAACCTCTATAAGTCCTAATAAAAACCCAGCTGTATGCCATGCATGCAAGGTGATGAAATCAATCTTTACACTTATAAATTTCTTAAAGATAAAATGATTCAGCTATTTACCAAATTTGAATTTTTTATGACATTTACATGTAGTCGATAAAATGCCAAAGAATCCAATACTAGGTGTATGTATAACCAATTTCTAAAATGTATGTTAGGTGACTTTTAAATACCTTGAATGTCCATGGGCAAGAGTTTTGAATACAAAGAAGCTCCTACTACCCAAGAGAAAGGAAGTGCAGTAGCAATGAGACCAAAACTAAAAGTAAATTCAAACACGTTGAGTGAAACGTTGCTACCTAAAAACAAACAAAATTAATAACAAGACAAATATATAAAAAGCATTACTTGATGTATGTCCACGACCAAAAAAGCCTAATATCCAAATGTCAGACATTAGCAGAACAGTCACACCAAAAATAATATAATAACTGTAATATATTAGAAATAATACAACACATTAATACAATGAACTTTCATACATGTCTGGTATCTTTGTCTTTCTGTACAACACTAATACTAACACTAAAGAGAAAATATTCTGCAAAAAATCAAAATTATTATTAATTTGTCAAAATCTCACTATTCCAGCTTGAACTGCAAAAAATATGGAATTTTCGAAATCTTTCCAACCAAGTATTGATTCTGCCATAGGATTAAAAGCGGCCTAGTATAAACAGAAGTTTTTAAATTAATAGTAAAAATTAATATACATACATGCATGTACACATGTATATATTACTGTATACCATACCTGCATTGCACAGTCCATGAAAATAACTACATAGAAAAGACTCAGTAAGAGAACTAATTCTTCGTAAATGAGACTACTCGTCATCCAAACAAAACTCCTTAATTTTTTACTAATGCTCCAGTTAGTGCGTTTGATCAGCAGCGGTGTGGCTTCTGTATTAATGGCACGTCGGTTGAAATGATCATAGTCAGGTTTTGTATAATCAGGTTTTGTATAATCAGATTTTGTATCGTCATTTTGTGAAAATTTTCTCTTTTCTTTTTGTATTCCTTCATGTTGCTCCTCAAGTTCTCCTATTGGTGGCTGCTGATAAAAAGCAAATATAAACATAACTTCTAAAATTAACCACACAGCTGCCATAAATAACTAAAAATAAAAGATTTGATATGAATTGCAATAGCATGGATATATACTTATTACCCCTGGTAGAGTATATTTATTTACAGGGTATTTCCCTATCTTAGAGTTGAATTTTCTGAAAATAACATTCATTGCTGGCCCTAAAAAGTAGCAATAATAATAGTACTAATAGCAATAATAATAGTACATTAAAAATATAAAGTTAAATGTATCTATTTGTTTATTTATTTGTTTATTCTATGTAAGCAAAATTTACAATAACATACCAAGTACAATACCAAATTGTCTGAGACTCATAATGACAGAATATATAGTTGCTCTTTTATTTTTTAAAGAGGTTCGTGCCAAGTCTCCAAATATTACAGTCCCAGCACTCCATCCAACACCTGCAATACACAAAAAAGAACCCAACACTTTATTGAAGTGCATGTAATAATACAATATTGTACATAAAATCATGCTTGCATGCATCAAAGAACACATAGTACTCACCAACAAAAACAGTCATTACTAACAATAACAATAATAATAAACGAGGACAATGGGGAGGCAAATGACCTCTTTTTAAATTAAAATTTAAAAATAACAATAAGCTGCTTTTGAAAAGACTAACTGTTTCACGACTTACATAATAATTGGAAAAGGCTAAATACGTGTATATTTAATGCTGCTTATCATCTTTGAGGAAGTTGGTCATTCCAATATGTTAAAGAAGAGACTTATTCAGGTTTTAACAGGCGCAATTTTTCAAAATTTTGTGGCACAATTCACATGCCATAGAACTTCCCTCCTCTTTCTAAAAATCCTGCCAATGCCCTTACAAAGGATAATTTTTCACACACATGCTACATCAGCTATGAGCTATGGCATACATCATAATTGTACTGAATGAACTCATAAATGAGTTACAATGAACAATAGACTATTCTACATGTACATGCAGTTGGTACATGAATTTATTGTGAGTGTTTCAGTGTATTCAATAGATATGCAGCAAAGCTATACAGTTACAGGCAATACATAAAATTATCAGTTCTCATACATGATATACCATTGATCTATGACATACCTGTAAGAAAACGGCTGGCAAGAATGGTATATTTCGATTTTGCAGCAAAATACAGGAGGTTACCTACATAAATAACATAAAACATTTTGAATAAAAGAGATTAACACAGCATGAATCATTATAACTACATACAAGCTCACATCCTAGTGGCCTATAATATAGACAATTGGCTGACCTCCAATTTCAAAAAGGTTAAGAAATAAGACAAGAATCTTCGTTTGGTGTGTCTTGTCATAGATTGCACCCATGATAGGACCAATTAACAAGTTGGATATGCTCATTGCTGAGATTGTGAGACCATACAGCCACTTCTGCGCTCCAAACTCTTCGTGCATGTAGTCCCAACACGTAGGAAGAATAACACCTGGAAAGCATGAAAAGGTCAAGTGCTAATCACAGCAATCACTTAACTATATTCCATTCCTCCACTTAAGAAAAAGACAGCTATTGTTGTCCAGGTAGCCCATTTTTTAGCTGTCACCAAACTCACCATCTTGACTTAGTCAGATGAGAGAGTGAGCCATGTCGGTCTGCTCTAGCCAAGCACTGACAAGCAGAGCAAAGCAGACATGAAATGGGCGTGAGTGTGGTCATGTGGTTATTGTGCAATTTGTGCATAGTATTTTATTTGGCAATGAATTCATTTTACTAGACTCTAGAGGGTGCTGCATATGCAGTCATGAATATTAAGAAATACAAAATAAATTGTACATGTATTAAAGTGAAAATCCAATGCAGAGATCAAAGGTAGACACTTGCTCCGTAGCTAGTTCATAGCCCGTCAAACTACACAATGGACAAGGAAATCTTTCAAACTTTAACATACATGTACCTATAACGAAGGAGTTATAAAGACAATTATATCTATTAATGTGGGAAAGACAGCACAGTCAAAATACATTTTTAGCGTTATATATATACTGATAAAATTAAAAGTTTTAGTTTTATAGTAAAAAGACACACAGTGCTGTCTTTACTATCAAATGTGTTAATCAGCCCTGATAAGCATAAGATTGTGATTGTATATACAGTACTATAATAACTGACACCACAATAGGAATATACCACATAAAGTAGTATTATAACTTACTGGAGGATCAAAATGAGAGTCAAATATTCCTGCTGTAGCTATCCTTTCTCTGATTTTAATACTGACACATGATATTCTATTTTACAAAGAAAACACAGGTAGAAATACATGTACTATTAACAGTAAATATACTACATCAAGAGTGGATAATTATCCACTCTTGACTACATGTATAATATGCTTATATGACTCAACTGGTCTAACTATAAATGTACATGTACAAAAAGTTAGGTACAATGTACATGTACATGGTTTAAGGCCTTCATAGTTCGTACACGAGACAACTTGTTGCCAGCAACCAAGCAGCTTGTTGCCAAGATATATTCTTCGCAATAAGTTGGTTACAAGATCAAGTAACCACAATGTTACTTGGAACATGAAAGGGACATGGCAATGGTAACATACATTAATGATAGTTTTATTAGTGCATGCAACCCACAATAGTATAAACAGGTTTAGGTACATGTGCTTTATAAGCACACGCACTACACTGGCTGATGGTAATGGTGTTGATTGATGACTGTTGCATTATTTAATAATGTAAAAGTTAATTATTTCACACTGGATACACGTAATACTCACAAGTTTAAAGTTACCCAGGATAAGATTAAGAAAGAAACAAACCAGAGAATAAAACCAGTCAATAAACCAATCCTGGCAGAACTGAACCAAACACTACACACAAAATAAATAAAATAGAAATGATAAAACAGTACATGTACATGTATTTATGAAGTAACAATTGAAGTGGTCAATCTGCCAATTCTACATCCATATCATACAGCTAGAAATACATGTATATTGGTAGAGAATAACTATTGGCAAATTGGTGGTAAAGTACAATCCACCATTTTGCTTTAATCTTCACATGTTCAATGACACATGACTGCTAAATTATCGATATAAATCTGCCAATGACTAAAAATTTATACACATCATAGTCCTATATAGTCCCTGTCCCCATTTTACCAAACCCCATAGGCACATTGGTTGGCAGTCAAGGCACAAATAAAAATGACTCATTAAAATTAATTAATCTCTACCTTCTTTAGATTTTAAGGAACCTTTACAGCTCTTCTAAATCTTTCTTTATTCATTATTTAAACTTTCGTTTGGATGAACTTTTGCTTGGAAGTTGGAGCTGGTCTTGGAGAGCTTGTTGCATCCGACATGTTAAAAGGTGTGGTCAATTTGAAAGGGTTAAATTTTTGAGACAATCAATGGATGGCGATGATGATGTGTCCTTGAAAGGATCGTCTGGTTTTTCAGGATCCTGTAGTAGTATTAAAGCAAAAAGATGGTTGACAAACATCACGATGGCATGCTTCTTCTTATGTGGAGGAATTGAATACAGTTAAGAACTATTTGTAAATTTTGTTAGCTTTATATACAATGTACATGTACATGTATGCTCGCATGTATGTTAATATTACATGTATACATACATGTACTTATTGTTTTATGCATGTACTTTCCAGGTGTTATTCTTCCCACATGTTGGGACTACATGCACGAAGAGTTTGGAGCGCAGAAGTGGCTGTATGGTCTCACAATCTCAGCAATGAGCATATCCAACTTGTTAATTGGTCCTATCATGGGTGCAATCTATGACAAGACACACCAAACAAAGATTCTTGTCTTATTTCTTAACCTTTTCGAAATCGGAGGTCAGTTACATGTAATTACTATGAGTGTGTTAATTACTATGAGTGTACTGTACATTTATAGTGGTAATTTGGGAGTAGTAAAATTTAGGGAAATTGCTAAATTTATAATGAACTAAAGCATAAAGTGAATTATATTTAAAATCTCAGATGATATTTAATGGTATAGTAGTCATTAGTACTGACATGCATACAAGGAATTGAAGTCGTATCAATTAACTAGCGGTACATGTAATTTAATTAGATACATAAATTTAAGTGCATCAATAATGCCAAGAGTAGTGTGTCATTCAGTGAGCTGTATAGTGTATACTGTGAATGTACACGTATATGTATGTACACATGTATAGCATCCAAATTACAGATACATGTAGCATTATTTAAGTATTACACACAGCTAGACTCTATGCATACTGTGACTTGCCATAAAAAATTGTTCATGGATAATACATGATGTATACATATTATTTTAATTGTTTCTTGTTTGTTGTATTTTAGGAAATTTTATGTACTTTGCTGCGACATCAAAGCATATGGTGTTAGGAAGCCGTTTTATAACTGGTAAGAAACCATTACATGTGTTCAAGTTGATAAGAATTTTTTGTCAATTTTATTGTGTAGATTAGAGTTAAATTGTTTTCCTTTTTTTTTAATGATTTAGTCCTGATCTGTTATTTAATTCAGATGGGAATTTCAATGCAAAACTGTGAATGATAGTGACTTATGATATAACCTGATATCAACAACATTTATTTGTTTATAGTATAATGTTATTTATACAGCCTACTACTGTTACAATTAATGTATAAAGTAAATCCTTTATAACTTGATATCCCCAGAGGCATGTAATTACATGTACATGTAGACACAAACAGAAGTCATATGCATGTCTTCATTAGAAGCCAGTGGTCTACATGTACTAAAGAAATCAAACGCTTATATTTAACTACATACAGTGTGTATGGCATATGCATTTAGGACTTTAGGTGTGTATTTTAGCATTGAATCTACGTGTATCATACTCTGTATTTTAAAAAGTGTCTCATAGCATCTAGTTCACATTACAAGTACATGTAGATCCTAAACTGTAAACTGTACTACATTTAATATTCATGTACATGTACATTGTACATGTTGTATTAGAAGTCTTCTTCTTCTTCTTTCAAGATAGAACCTTGAAAGTTAAAAGTCTTATGTACATGTACTTGTTATAGTCAGTTTGTGTGCCTTCCAAATCAAATCTTTGACACTGTATTAGTACATGTACAGTAGTTGTGGCAATTTCAAGGTTTGTTAGCATTTTCATGCATTGGGGCACATTCAATTAGCTATCCATTAAAAGAAGAGCTTTTTTGGCTGCTTAAAGTCTCAGCCAATTCAAAATTGAATTTATAATTATGAGCTATTAGCAATGTCTGTGAAGTATTATGGGCTATCATTCCAAAAATTGGCTCCAAAATCACCTCCCAATTTTTATTACATTTTAAGATACATGTACATGTTGATGTCCTTATGCTGTGTAGAAAGTTTGAGCTGATTCCGACAAATATTTTTTGAGTTTTGAGCTTTTTGAAAAAGGAGTCAATTTTTCAAAAATAGCAAAGGACATCATATAGCCTGTGGTTTTTTTATGACTCCAAAATCACCCCAAAATTTTATTACATTTTCTGATACATATTGATGTCCTTATGCTGTGTAGAAAGTTTGAGCTGATTCCGACTTCAATTTTTCCAAGTTACGGCCATTTTAAGAAAATGCCAAAATTCTAAAAAATACCCAAGGCTATAGCCCATGGTTTTTTCAAAAAATGGCCCCGAAATCACCCCAAATTTTTATTACATTTTCTGATACATATTGATGCTCTTATGCTGTGTAGAAAGTTTGAGCTGATTCCGACTTCAATTTTTCAAGTTACGGCCATTTTAAGAAAACACCAAAATTCTAAAAAATACCCAAGGCTATAATAGCCCATGGTTTTTTCAAAAAATGGCTCCGAAATCACCCCCAAAATTTTATTACATTTTCTGATACATATCGATGTCCTTATGCTGTATAGAAAGTTTGAGCTGAATCCAACTTCAATTTTTTAAGTTACGGCCATTTTAAGAAAACGCCAAAATTCTATAAAATACCCAAGGCTATAGCCCATGGTTTTTTCGAAAAAATGGCTCCAAAATCACCCAAAATTTTTATTACATTTTCTGATACATATTGATGCCCTTATGCTGTGTAGAAAGTTTGAGCTGATTCCGACTTCAATTTTTCAAGTTACGGCCATTTTAAGACAACGCCAAAATTCTAAAAAATACCCAAGGCTATATAGCCCATGGTTTTCATTATTGATGTCCTTATGTTGTGTAAAAAGTTTGAGCTTATTCTGATGAATTTTTTTGAGTTATGAGCATTTAAAAAACAAGCGTAACAGTGTAAAAATATTCCTATAATTTTTTTCACCACCTTGCAAGTACAGCTGGGTTCTTATTAAGACTTACTGTACATGTATTAAGATTCTCTCTACCTTCTGATGCTTCCAGAAAAGACTTTTGACAGTACATGTATCTCTATGTTCTTTCACTATAAGAAAGCTCATAACTTTGTTCCATGTGCAAAATGCCATTTTGTTTGCTGTGACCACACCCACTTACGTAGCATGGGCGGGTGGTTGCTAAGGCTTGTTATTTCTCCAATACAATGTGTATAGTAGAAATGTACATGTAAGTGTTGACATATAACATGTGAGTGAAATCATTTATAGGACGACCTGGGGGCTACGCCCCCAGGTCGTAACAAGCCGATTTTGGAAAATAGCAAAAGCTTTTGAAAAATACCTCCAAAATCACCCCAAATTTTTGTTACATTTTCAGATACATATTGATGTCCTTATGCTGTGTTGAAAGTTTGAGCTTATTGTGATGAATTTTTTTCTAGTTTTGAGCATTTAAAAACGAGCCTATTTTTGAAAAATAGCAAAGGCTATAGTATGTATAGCCAGTTTTTTTTAATGGCTCTGAAAAATTACCCCCAATTTTTATTACATTTGTGAATGCATATTGATGTCCTTACTGTGTAGAAAGTTTGCCAATTTCAATTTTTTAGTTATGACCATAAATAAAAGTACATGTACATGTAGCCTTCCAAAAATCAACCCCAATTTGTATTAACATGTTTTCTTTGAAAAAAAACTGTACTATTATGTGTAATTATCATTATCCTTTATAGGCATTGGATTAAGTGCTGGATCTGTTTTATTTGGAGAAATAGCTCGTACCTCTGATAAAAAGAGAAGGACAGTTGCTTTCTCAATCTTTATGTCAGCAAGACAAGTTGGCCTTGTGATTGGCCCCGGCCTAAACCTTTTCCTAAGAATATGTAACTTCAACCTTGGTCCTTTTAAAGTAGACAAATTCAGATCACCTGCCGTAAGCATTATATCATTATTTTTATCACTTTAAGAGTCCCTCCATCTTTTAGTTATTTATGATGATTATTTGGGTCATCATTCAAGTGTTGTTCCTTTTCTTCTTTTTCCTACTCCCGTCAGTGAATGAGAAAGAAGAGTCCGACAATCAGAAACATGTACATGAACAGGAACAAGAGAACAGTTCATCGTCAAGTATTGATGACGAAACTATTAAAAGTGAAGATATCTCATTTCCATCCGAGGCTGCTTACCTTATAAATAATAAAAACAGTAAAGGACGTTATGGCAGTATTAATGTTAATCCTGAGAGAAGTGAACATTCCATTGTCGTGAAGAAAATGAACTTTCTCATGACAATTTTAAATGAATTTGTCACAGAGGAAGTCTCAGTTTTATTGGCAATTCTTTTTATTACTTTATTTAATCAACAAGTGCTAGAGGTATGATGGTTATAGTGTTATAATTTCAATTTTGATATTTTATTTTAATAGACTGGGCTGGTTCCATTAGTTGAGGACTTTTTTGATTGGAATGAATTTGATGTCAGTCTTTTTTATTCAGGAGCTGGAATCATTGTGAGTTTTTATTGATAGTTATCGTACAAGTTTAGCTTTAAAAAATTGTGAAAATTTCTGATAATTATCATAATTTTGAGAAAAAATTCAATTTATCAATTTCATTCCCTCTTGCATTGATTAAGCCATAGCAGGCAGGGTGCATGAAGTCCACCGATTAATAATTTGTATTAAAAACTCCCATCACTATTTTAAACTATATGGTGTATGCATGCGTAGTTGCGTACATGTACATGTAGCATATCTTGAAGGCACCAAATGTTTAGTAGTACATGTAAGCACTACTGGAGCTTTATGTACATGTACGCGTGTGTAACAAAAGTAAATAATGAATGGTGTGTGTTCTACACACTGTAGCAAATGCCATTCATTTACTGCTCACATCATAAATTTTAATTGTAAAAATTATTACTTCTTTATAATTATAGTTGCTTATCAGTTTCTTCAGTGTGGCAATACTTACAAAGGCCCTTTCTGACAGGTCTCTTTTAATAATTAACTATTATAACGATGAATTTTCGTATGATACAATGTAGGTGGTTGATAGTCATTGGTGTTATTGGTACAGTCATTGGTTATACTTGTAATATTGGAGTTTTAGGATCTGGACAAACATGTATGTTATAATGATGAATTTTTAACATTATTATTGAGACATTAATTCATGCTTTTAGATTCTTTTTCATTCCCCGCCTTTATAATTGCATCTGTTATTAATGTCTTTACAATTGCATACATATTTGTTCCAGCTGCATCGTTATATTCAAAATTCCTTCCTCTTAGAATACAAGGTATTTCCAACCAGATTCTTGTGTATAATATCATGTTGTGCTATTTAGGTTTTGGTCAAGGGATTAGACGTTCTGTTGGTTCATTAGCTTGCATAATGGGGCCATTGTGGGCTGGATCAGGATTTGAACTATCATATTGCTGTAATTATTATCCTTTCTTTGGTGTCCCATTGGTTCTGCTTGCCATTATTTCAGTAAGCAATAAGTTATAAGTGATAACAATGTTCAGTTATTATTTTGATATGTTCATCTAGATTTTACTGGTATTGTCATTTAGTAAACTTAAGAGTGATTCAGAGAAAAAACTTCCTGTTACTGCAGAACAAAAGAGTTAGTATCATCAATGTTCCTGGTTTACATGCCTGTATTTATTATTATTCAAGACATTTTTTTAATCTTAAAATCTTTTAAATCTTTGGAGTTTATTATTTATTGTAAACAAACAGTTTGAATTTATGATCTGTCTATCCATTTTTTAAATCAAATCTTGTGTGTATATTGTTCATAGCAAAAGATTGTCTGAACTTCTCTCAGTAACTGGTTTAACAAAGGAGGGGATTAACGTGACATTATTGTCACAAGATACCATACCATGCAAAAGGATTGTGGTTACTACATTTGGCATAAACATGCATGCATCTTGTAGCAATCCAAGTAAGGAGGTTCTTCAAGACTGGAAAAACATTCATTCTAAAGGAGGATGTATCTACATGTATTACTCTTGATTAAATTGACAATCAATGAATAATAATCAATCATTGCTATGAAGATTTCTTGTTCCACAAAAGTTTTGCTAAGAGTTTCTCTCATATATTTCTTTTGTGCTGGCTCTACTTCAGGCTATACTAGTGAAGTTTTAAAGAATGTTCAAGTGACTGTTGATACCAGTGCCTCTCAATTGAACTGCACATCAGAGAATAACACTACCGAAAGTCACAAGTCCTTTCTCTGTCCTTCTTTACAAGCTGCTCTACAACTCACTGGGTCTACTGGACGCTGCTGTTATCATTACTTCATATCTTTTAGACACACTCCTTCTTCTGGAGGTTTTGTACACTTTATAACTGAGCCCATAGTCACAAGTGCTTCTGTCACTTTAAACTCAGGAGGCAGTGAGTCTGATAATGTGACTATTTCTTGTCATATTGCTCAAGAAATTTTGACTAAACGGACATTAGATTTGAAATATATTTTATATTTTAATTCATCCCTTTACGTGAACTTCAGGTATACTATTTTTGAATATTGTCCACTTCCTATTAGAATATTAAAGATTGAACAAGTTGAGATTACAAATTCTACTTTCAGGTTAGAGGGATAATGCATGAAGAATAGACAAACATTTCAGTTTTTGTTAGCAGTAATATGGGGTTTTCCTTTTAAATTAGACTATGATAACATTAATTCTACTTTTATAGTTATTTCAAAGAAGCGGTTTTTGACATACACAACTGCTATAATGTGACAATTTCGGAATCATTTTTTAAAAGTAACAGAGGAACTGGAATCACAAAGAGGTCTTATCGTGGAAACACTGGCTCCCTCTCTATTACCTACAATCATGTTGAAACTGGTAGCATTCCTGGAAATCCAATGATAACAATAAAGTCATGTAGATTTATCAATAATTCTGCAGCAGCCACAACTTCTTTAAAGTCGTCAGATCAAGTTTTTGCTAGAGGTATTTTAACAGGGAGAGGAGGAGCAATGGCAGTTTTTGCAAGAGAGAATGTCTTTAATATCTCAGTACTGATAACTGATTGTGAATTTAAAGAAAATTATGCTAGATCATATGCTGGTGGTGCTTACATTCTTTTTAATGGATACGGACATCATGTTGCTTTGGTACAACAATGTTACTTCAAATCAAACCATGCAGGAGAAGGTGGTGGGGGTATACTTGTTCTTGGAACAAAAGGTTCAAGAGAAAGTCCTCACATCTTTCAAGTGAAAAATTGCACATTTCATGATAACAAAGCTACACTTGGAGCTGCCTTGTATTATTCCATTAATCTTGATGGAGGAAGATCTAATAGAGCTCACATTGCTGACTGTGTGTTTACAAATAATTCTCTTCTCAGTGAACATGATGGTTTTGGTGTTGCTATTGCAGTTGACATTGCTGATAATTTTGAGGAAAAAGAGTCATTCCCAGTCAACACTATCAGTAACTGGTATGTTATGATTCATATCCTTAACCTATAAATCTCTTTTAGTCTGATAGCTAATAATACTGCTGGGGTTAGTAGCATTGTTAGCATAGGTTTTCAAACATTTCACTTATTCGGAAATAACAATTTTACTGGAAACCAAGGCTCAAGTTTGAGAGTTAGCTTTTCTTAAATATTATCAAAATGATCAATTTTTAATATAGATAGTCAATGCTCGGGTTGTATTGTCTGGAAGGATATCATTCATCAATAATACTGCTGTAGATGGAGCAGCAATGTATCTTCTATTATTCTCTCAGATACAACTGTCAGATAACGTACATATTTTGTTTAAAGGCAATAAAGGAAGGTAATGTAATAATAGATTCTTAGATGTTTAAGTGAATTTTCAATAGGTATGGTGCTAGTATATTTGTTGGTGCATTCCCATTGGTGGAGGTTTTTCGCCAAATCCCATACAATCCTCAATGTTTTTTAGCTTTAGAATCATCAAAAACACTCCCACCTTATCGCTGGGCAGAAGTATGTTTTGTTTATCTGTGTATAATTAGAATGTACACTTTCTTAGAAAAATGTTACCATTAGATTTGAAGGAAACTCTGCTTGGTTTGGTGCTGCTGTCTACACTACTAGCTTTGCTACTTGCTCATGGATTGGATTTCAATTTATAGAATCTTTTGATGAAATATTGTTTTCTGATTGGCCGATCTTTAATGTGAGGTAACGTTAAAATCGACATTTTGCTACTAGTAGAATAAGTATTATTCTAATAGTAGTGACAATGAAAACAGTGCATTTAAAGATCGCTATAATCAGGAGAATTCATTTGTTACTGAGTCAGTTCAATTAAATGTCAATGAAACTGCTTTAAGTGGTTGGCCGGGACAGAAACTAACACTTTCAATCACTGCAATTGATGAATTTTCTAAACCAACTGGCTCATTAATTCGTTTTGCATTCGTTCCCAACAACAATCAAGTTTGACAATTATAATTATGAATAACTGTTACACTAGCTAACATAGATACATAACTACTCTATAATGCCTGCTGTTGTTCTGATAAAAAAACATTCACATGTGACAAAATTAACATATCAAATGCCTTCTAAGATGCATATTTC